ACACGCATTTGAAACGATTATGAAACAATCTGGCCGACATCCTGAAAAACTGTGGGTAGATAATGGAAGTGAATTTTAAAACAAAAATATGAAATCTCTGGGATTTGAAATTTTCAGCACGCATAAAGCTGTAGTTATTGAGAGATAGAACTCTAAAAAATATATTATTCAAAAAGTTCACAGAATTGAAATCTCAAAAATGGCTTAAAATATTACCAGAGGTTGTATATGAACACAATGAAAAAATTCATTCATCTATAGGTGTCACACAAACACAAGCCACAAATAATCCAAATATTATAAAGTCAATTAACGCACAACATAACTACGAAAATGAAATAAAGAATTTAAATATCAAACCCAAATTTAAAGTCGGAGATCGAGTTCGTATTTTCAAATATAAAAGTAAATTCGAAAAAGGCTACGTTGGATTTTGGACCAACGAAAGTAGTATAAGAGTATATTGATGGGAGGCACTTTTGTATAATTTATAAAAAAAATCACTTTTTGACGTTAGGAATAATACCAATATACTCTTATACTACTCTTTTGCCCGCAGCGCCCCCAAGCCCACCAAACAAACAACCCACCAGGCACGCGATTAATAAACCCGGGGTACCCGTTTACCAACCCCCAACCGCCCCAGGCCTATAATATCTTCAAATTAACTCATTTAAAACAGAATGAGTTTAATTTTAAAACACGAACAACATAAATTCGAAGGAGATGGTTTCTTCTCAGCTCTATCATCTCTCATCCCAAAAGTAGCCAACTTTGTCTCAAACAACAAATCCCTCATTTCCTCAGAAGCGCAAGCTCTTGGATCTGTAGCAAAAGTAGGAGTAAATATAAGCGAAACAGTGAAAAGATCTAACGAGTTGAAAGAATTACAACATATAAGAGAAATGCAAAATAAAAGATTAGAAAACAAAAAAGGCAATGGTTTTAAAATTGTTGGATAGATGTGGTCTGTTTATTTATCAACACTTCCTTCCCTTTATTAAAGCGAGGTAACTCTTCTTTGGAATTTTTTTTTATTTCAGACCACAATTAATTTTTGGAAACTTAAAGCGTGGGCTGGTTACGTATGTTTAATATATGTTGAAACAAGAAAGCTATTTTGATGGAATAAGGGCTATGGAATGTTTTTTTCTATCAATTATTCTTTCTGTAGAAGGGAATCACGGGAACAACTGAAAAAGAAATTCAACAATTCAAAATGATCAAACATTGGAACTGTTTCTCCAAATTAAATGTTTCTAAAATGATTGAGTGAATGTCCATGTTAACCTATAAAGTCAACAAAACCATATTTTTTTCTTTCTGTGATTAATTCATCTATTACCACCTCCAATTAGGTATTGAACTTAATCCCCTTTTTGATAGTAATTCTACTAATTGAAAAGTATTCGAAAGTCCTGTAGAATAAACAGAAGGGATATTCAACACCTTCAATTTCATGTATTCCCCTTTAAGGTTAATTCTCAGAGCGAAAAGTATATTCGAAAGTCTCAGAGAATTAACAAGGGTGCATGGAAGTTTATCACTACAGATAAAGAAATTCAACAGTTTAAAATGATCAAACATTGGAAATCTCTCTCCAAATTTAATGTTTATGAGATGATTGACTGAGAGTCCATATTAAACCTATAAAGTCAACAAGACCACATTTTTCTTACTTGTGTTTTGTCAATACCCCTTTAAGGTCAATTCTCAGAGCGAAAAGTATATTCGAAAGTCTCAGAGAATTAACAAAGGGTACATGCAATTTTTATCACTACAGATATGATTATATTATGAGATTAAATAATTTGGAATTCACACAGACTTTTATATCTGTTAGAACTCCAAATATTATGAGATTGGAATTCACACAGAATTTTATATCTGTTAGAACTCCAAATAATATTATGAAAATGATAAAATGAATCTGTAGTGAATTGGAGTATCACACCAGGAAGTAAATACGTATTTGTTGACTATATGGGTCAACATAGAAATTCACTAGTAATTCATCTCAGAAACACAAATTTGAAGATAGATTCCTTTGTCCGACATCTTGAACTGTTAAAATAACTCAATCAGATTCCTATTATCCCTTCATTAGATGGAATAATTAATGAAAAATACAGAGCATATTAAAACGCCCTTTATACATATCAAAATGGCTTCCTTGTTTTCTTTATCATCCAGTTTGTAGACAGTTTTTATTAGTCTCTTTTTTTTCTCGAAACTTTTAAAATAATCCGAAAACAACCTATCCAAATTTTTATCTTTAAAAATGGCAGAAAAAAATTATAGATTAGATCCGATCTTTCAATTATATGATCCAATTCGTTATTCGATTAATAAGCAAAAAGAGGATTACATTATCATATCACCAACCGTTGGCTCTAGGTCTCAACTAAACGATGGGGGTAGGGTCACTTTCGAGATTAATTCATTATCGAATTGGCTGATTCTGTGTGATGCTTATTTCAGATGCGATTTCAAAATCAAAGACGGAACTCTCAATGAGAATCGTGTACCACAAACAAACACAACGTTAGAAAACAATTTCTTTCCATCTTTATTTAGCGAGATGGTTTCGGAAGCTGGTTCAAATCCCATAGAAACCATCAAACACCCTGGGGAATTTGATACAATGTTGAAAACAGTTTTATATCCTAAAGATTTCGATTCGTATCAGGCTGGATACCCGATGTCGGTGACGGAGAAGTTTTGAAAGAACCGGTAAGAAATGTTACAAATGATGCAAATGAAGATAGAATGAGAGCTATTGCTCGAAAAACAATAGAAAGAGTAGGACGGGCAGGTAATCACGGATTTGAAAAACGAGTAGTTCAGTACAATAATGTTGTTGAGAATAATAGGTGGGGTAATTACGTAAATTGGAAATTATAACCATTATTCGGTCTGTTGGAACACAGAAAAGTTTCCATAGGGTTACCATATAAAATTCATCTACAAAGAGAAATCAACGATGATAAGATATTCTTTGGAGAGAATGCTTCAGATGCAAAATTAGAAATAATGAATCTCCAAATTTTCATACCCGTAATAACACCATCAATTGAAGGAGAAACGAGAATATTCAACTCATTAACTAAAGATATTGAAATAGCTTTTCTTCGTCGCAATACATTAGGTAGCATAACTTTAACTGGAGAATCCACTACATGGCCAATCACTAACACTATTAAACCAGCAAGATATTTAATGGTTGGTTTCAAGAACTTACCGGATTCTCAAAGGAATAATAATAATATCTTTAGAGTGGCAATGAACCAAACTCAAGATCCTTTAATCCGTAAAGTTCAAGTAAGACTAAACAATGATAATTATCCTAACCAACCTTTAACAATTAATCCAACCACAAAGGATTATAATGAATTGTATAGAAACTATAAAAATATGTGTGAATTATTTGGAAATCTACCTCAGTTTGAATATGTAGATGAATTTAAATATTCATATTGAAAAAACACAAGGAGATGTAACCGGTTATTGTTTATTATTGGAAGAAGCAAAACATTTAATTAAAATAGCAGACAGACGGATGATTCGTATAGAATAATCATTTAAATTACCCTCTTAATAATGAAACCAGAAACTATAGTAAAAAGAATAATAGAAGCTATCGAAACGGAATCACCAACTACAATAACTTACGATGGTAAAAAGATTAAAATATCTAAAAAGATTATCGATAAATATAAACATTGTAAAGTTAGAGATGATATAGATTTGGAAAGAATTGACAAGAGTGTAAAGGAAGGTGGTTTTTACCTTTCCTACCTTTGATATTTGCTGGTCTGGCCGCAGCAAGGGCGACAGCTGGTGGGGCGGCTGGGATAACGCAAGCCATCAACGCCAAGAACGCAGCTGATGCTGAAAAAAGTGAAAAACGTAGACATAATATGGAAATGGAAAAAATAGCTCAAGGTTCGGGAGTAGTAGATATATTAGGGACAGTTGAAGAATTTGGAAATCGATTTAGTGAAGAAACCAAGAAAACTGTTAAAGAGGGATTAAGTAATCTAATAGATAAAATCGACACAGGAGAAACGAAAGTCATGTTATGTCAGGTTATGTTATATTTTTTAAAAACAAACGTTCTGGAGAGGGAATCTTTCTTTCAAAGTATAAAGGAGAAGGAGTGATTTTTA